CAATAGCCGTTTCCTCTATTATTTCACATTGCCATTCTGGGCTTATATAGAAAGGAACGCCGCCTGTGTGCCTTGATATACAGTCCTTTCTCACTATTTTATAGTCACTGAGTTTCATTTCACTGTTGCTTATTGATGAGACTCGGTCACACAGATAAAATCAAATCTTGTAGAAAATGATATAGTCTCAAGTTGGTTAAAATTTGTCCTAATACCAACAATATTCAAGTACAGCCATTTTAACGTCAACTTTAATTCGATGGCTGAGTGTAAGATCAACCTATCTCGGCAGCCAGTTCGAAAACGCCCTATATAAAAAAAGTTTCAAGAACGCCCTACTTCAGAATTTGACTGAAGAACGCCTTATTTGCTGAGACCAAATTCTGAGATAGGGTGTTTTTCAATAAATTTCTGAAATATGGCGTCCATCAATCAAATTCTCACAGTTGATTTTTTAGATCTTTTTTGTCCAGGATGTTTCGGTTTTCTTCTAAATAAAAATTAATTGTGTGTATTCATTACATGGAAGCAAATGGGACAAAAAAATTCTAAGCAATCAACCGTAACTTTTAGCCATTTGAAACTTGTACTTGCTAGAATTCACAGGGCTACAAAACTTCATACTCAGAATCTTTCTAGGAAATTTAATTAAAAATTAAAAATTTTTTCGAAAGTCTTTTGAATTGTTTGTAAATATTGCACAAAGTTTGAAACTTGGATTTACACGGGCTTTGTTAAAGAATGAACTATATTTTTATAAAAAAAAATAACCAAAATTAAATGACAATAAAAATAATATGTTAAAACTTGTCAAAATGTTGGGCTATAATTATTTCGACCACTGTAGGCAATTCACTAAATAGTTTCAGACCTTTATACAATAAAATATTTTGTGCCTTATTAGATTTATAGAGATTAGTTCTAAAATCATGCTTGTTTCTTAAGTCGTAGGGTTGTACATCCCCTACATATACGATCATTACTTCATTTTAAATACAAAAAGTAGAACATTCATCACTGTTCCTTGGTTAATGTTAAGCCATTTTTAAAGTTTCGAGCATATATGTGGTCGGGGTCAGTCTACTACATAATAAAATGCAACGCATTCCTTTATTTTGTAATTTCTACATTCTGTTTTTCATCTCACTGGATCCTAAGAATAGTATGGTCGAACAATACTCAAAACGTGGCTTAATCATGACATTGAATATCTTTACGGCACTATTTATAGGCACTTTCTTACGCATTCTTTGGAAAATCCAATTTTTTTTTTCATTTTACTACAAATGTAATTTAAGTGTTTATCGAAATTTATTTTTTGTATCGATGACTATACCTAAATATTTAATTTCATCGACCTTATCTATTATTTCATTATTAACAATCAGATCATCATGCGCTTCGCCGTTTATGACAATTGCTTCTGTTTTACTATCATTAAGGTTTAGCTTGTTCATATTTAAGTATACATATATCGACGTTTTTCAAGTTTTCATTTAACCGAGTAATACACTCCTGACATGAATCTCCGGTCGTATACAGTAACGTGTCATCAGAAAATTGGCAAATCTTTACTCCCTGCAGTATTTTTTCCATATCATTTATATATATTAAAAAGAGTAAAGTACCAAGCACTGCGCCCTGGGGCACACCTAGCATTATTGGCCGAGGACTCCAGACGATTTCAGAGACTTTGGATCACTGCCATCTGTTGTTTAAGTAACTCTTAAACCTCTGATTTTCAACACCTCCAATTCCATAACGCTTCATTTTTTCTATAGGATGCCCCTATCAATTGTTTCGAAAGCTCGTTTGAATTAATTAATTAATTTTTTCCTTAAAATACACAAAATACACTTTCTGGAGATTTTTGTCTGTCTGGGAACCTATACAATCCAATTAACATTAGATTTACATTTTTTGGTTTAACCTTTATAATTAAACAGTTTTTCAATAGCCGTCTCCTCTATTATTTTACATTGCTATTCCGGCCTTATATAGAAAATAACGCCGCCTGTGTGCCTTAATATCGTTGGCTTAATATAGAAAAGGCGTATCTACATTTTTTTCGAAATCGCGTTTTTAATGTATTCTGGTAGACCACTGTCAAATACACCTCCCCTTAAAAAATTAGTGGGCTATGATCGCAAATAACGGATTTATAGTCATATAAAAAAAAGCCCTAACTCATTCGAAGTTTTTTTTGAAAGAAAAAAGCCCTAAGTCATTTAAAGTTGAATTTAAAATAGACACACAATCAAAGCCACAACAGAAATTGGTTTTTGCTTGGCGAATTTTTTTGTTGCTTTGATTGTGTGTCTATTCTTATTGTTTTGCTTTTGTATTTACTTTAAAAGAAAAAGGGATTTCCCCGAGTTTGTCTAGCACAAGAATATTTTCTGTGCTACGTTGCGTTCGTCGGTGCGTTTTTGTTTTTTGTGTCAGTTCAATTAACGTTTTTGTGTTGGAAACAGTTTTTTTATTGAAAGTTTTAATAACATGAATTGTGCAAAAGAAAATTCTTATTCAGATGGTGTTCCAAAAAGGAAAAATACTGCTAACAAATCCGAATGGAAACAAAATGTAAATAAAAAAAAAAGAATGGAAGGCGTGGAATATTTGGGTATATCAAAAAAAGAACTTTGTCAAAAACCTTCTAGGCAATTAGGAGAGCCATGTTCATCACGATTTTGTGTAAAAAGTGCGGTGAGAAAGTGTTCGACGTTTAATGAGTCCACGCGAAAAGAAATTTTTAGTTTGTTTTGGGAGATGTCCTGGGAGCAAAAGAGGCAGTATGTTGCAGCTTTTCTGAAACAAAAAAGAAAACCTCTGAAAATTCGAGACGGTATCAGTCCATATCATATTTCTTGAGTCATAATTCAAAGCGATTACAAGTGTGCCGTGAAATGTTTTATTCAACACTGGGAGTAAAGGAAAAGATGGTTCGAAATTGGATTAGCAGTGGCGGTAAACACGGTACTCAATTCAGTCCCGATATAGCTTTAATTTTGCGCAAAAATGCTAAGCGATCATCAGTTATAGGTCAGTGCAACAAAAACCGACGTGACTTTCTAAAAAATGGCTAGAGGAGTTGCCAAAAATGGAGTCACATTATTGTCGAAAAGATAGCAAAAAGTTTTACTTCGAATCGGATTTTTCCTCATATCAGGAGATTTACAAGCTTTATGTCAACGAGTGTGAGTCCGAAAAAGAAAATGGAGGCCTAAAATTGTCGTACCCAATATTTACGCAATTAATAAAGGAATTAAATTATTCTATTTTTAAGCCAAGAAAAGATCAGTGCAATTTATGCGTATCACATAAAGCTAATAATGTTTCCGATGAGCAATACGAAAAACATAGAGAAGAAATCGAAAAAATGCGTGTAGAAAAGCAAAACGATATCAAAAATGCTGAATCCGGACTATGTGCAGTATTCTGTATGGATGTGCAGGCAGTTAAATTAGTGCCTCAACTAAACGCGAGTGCTGCATATTATAAAATGAAGCTTCAACTTCATAACTTTACTGTCTATAATATTGTAACGCATGAATCAGATAATTATGTGTGGGACGAAACAGATGGAAATTTAGTCTTCCGTTTTTGCTACATGTATTATTAAGCACTTAAGGAATTTCCATGCTCGATCGCCTGAAACCCATCACATTATTATTTACTCGGATGGTTGCTTTCACCAAAATCGTAATACTGTTTTGTCTAACGCCTTGTTGAATATTTCAAAGGAAACCGAAATAACAATTGAACAGAAGTTTTTAATAAGTGGTCATACGCAAATGGAATGTGATGCAACGCATTCCCTTATAGAGAGAAAAATAAATAAAAAACAAATAAACTTGCCGTCTCAATTTGTTCAACTCATTAAGGAAGCTAGAAAAGTTCCAGCACCTCTACAAGCGCACCATTTGCGTTATGATTATTTTTTAAATTTCGAAAATATTTCAAAGATATACACATCAATACGACCAGGTGAATATTGCACACTGAAACAACTCTTTAGATATATATACTTAAGCTTTTCTTAAATTACAGGCAGGGGCATTGGAGATCATACAGTAAGCATGCTTCGAGCCTTGGCGTATGACTCGTCAGGATCAATTTATTTTAAAATAAATGTAACAGGTGAATATCAGTTACTCCCACAGAGATCGAAGTTTCCGATTGAAAATGTGTCCCCCGATTGTCTTTATAAAGAGAAAATAGCCATATCTAAAAAAAAGTGGGACCATTTGCAAGATCTAAAAAAATTTCTTCCAGCAGATTGCCACCATTTTTATGATAATTCACCTTATAAAACCTAATTTGTTTTCAGTATAATAACATCTGCCTTGAAATATGTATTTTAGTTTTAATTATTTATTTATTTTACTTCAAACATGAATTATTATATTAGTTTGTCCTAATTTTAACTTACAATAAAAAGCCCTAACTTAAATTTATTTTCAAGAAAAATAATAACAAAAAGCCCTATCTCAAATAACTTCAAAGAAATTAAAAATAATAACAAAATTATACCAGAATTGAATTTGTTGTCTGTTTTGAATAAAAATTGCAATAGAAATGTTTTTTGCATCTTAAGTTTTTAAGGTTTTATTCAGTTTTTTCCTTCTCCTGAAAAGTAACGAAAAGTGTAGATACGCCTTTTCTATATTAAGCCATCGATATACTATCACATCTCACTATTTTGGAAAGTCATGCGAGTTTCATTTCACTGTTGCTTATTGATGAGACTCGGTCACACAGATAAAATCGAATGTTGTAGAAAATTATAAAGCTTCAAGTTGGTTAAAATTTGTCCTAATGCCACTGTTATATACGTTGTTGTGAATACACACTGTTATATACTTTGTACGTGAGCATGCTCCTATACAGATTACTACTTTGGTAAACGCACTCATGTGTAAATACTATTGAAGTGAACGCAACCATGTAGCTACACACACGTGTAATAATCAGGGCTGTCATGGAATCCAATTGTTGTCGGAATTGGATTTGAAAACGACAAAAAAATTATTTTATTTTTATTTATTTCATGAAATCCAATGTTATCGGTTTTATGTTCGAATCGGAATTAGTGTTGATTTTAGGTGTCACAGAAATCAATAATATCGATTTTGCTATCGGAAACAAACCAAGCAGCTAACAGCTCTTGGATTTCATTTGTTTATTAGTTTTTCTTACTTCCAGTTAGACATTTTATAAAAATGTGAGTAAAAGAAGGTTTATTTTATAAAAATAATTATTAATGTATTCATATTTTTATTCATAACTAGGGGAAAGCATAAAAATGCAACTCAAAACAGCATTATCGTGGAATTTATGGAGAAATATCCAGATATTGCGAGAGGCTTTACAAAGCGGGATAAACCAACTGTTGATGCCCTTTGGCAACAGTTTAGTTGAGTCGCTGAACAGTGCAGGTCCACCACAAAAGGATACCAATGGATGGAAAAAGGTAAAGCATAATTGGTGCTATAAATTAAATCGTGCCTTAAACTTACACTGTTTTTTATATACATATGTACAGACGTGGACGGAGTAGAAAAGTGACATAAAAAGAAAGCTCGCACAAAACAAAAGCGAGTCTCGAGCAACTGGTGGAGGACCCTTTTCTAAGCACCAACTAACGCAAACGGAAGAGACAATAGTGCGCATATGTGGAATTGCACAGTCTGTGGTTGGTGTGGCTGGCAATGCAGTTGGCCTCAGCGAAGATTTAGTTTGTGCAAGTGAGGATGAAATGCCATCAACATCATCGAAGCGGCCAATGTCTCCAGTCAGCAGCACTCCTAAAAGACAAAGGACAGATAGTACTGGGAAGCGTTTGAAACAATTTCTCGATGAAGACAACGAGAGAAAGCTCGAAATAAATGAAAAATTGAACGAGCTAATTAAGATTGAAAAAGAAAACGACAGTAGCCTCAGACGAGTGTATAGAGCCATAAAAAAAGCAACGAATCTGTCGCGAATGCAGTAACTGAGCTCAAGGATGAATTTGTCCGTATTAATACAGGTGTTTTGCGAGCGATACAGGAAAAAAACGAAATAAAAGAAAAGCAACTCGAGCTCGAACTCCTAAAGTTTGATTACGAAAAACAGAAAGAAAAGTAATTTCCCTTTTAAAAAATGTCAAAAAAGTGTTGGTTGTGGTCGTTATAGTACCTAAAAATGTGCGTGTTTTTTAAATAAATAAATATGTGTTTTTTATTTTTTAATAAATAAATATTTGAATTTTTATTCAGTTGGTTTGCTATAAACTGTTGGCTATTTCATCCCTCATCCTTTTACCTTCACTTTGCAGTGTTGCGTTCGGTGGAGATTCAACATTTTCATCAGTATCATTTGATGGTAAAGTAATACTGTCGTCGTTATATTCCACGTTGTAGTTTCTGCAGATATTGTGCAGCGCACAGCAAACATTTATAATTTTCACCACTTTTTCTGGCCGATAGTGCAAGGTGATCAATAAGCAGCGAAATCGGCTTTTCAGCACTCCTATTGTTCGCTCCACAATATTTCGAGCGATGAATGGGCCAAATTGAACTTATATTCTTTGGAGTTGTAGCGTGGATCTCTGTATGGTGTTAATAAAAAAGGTTCTATGCCATATCCACAATCTCCTAACAACTTTGATGTCCGGTCAACTGACTCATACTTCTTGAGGAAATATTGTCTGCCGCTACTAACGTTCCATACGAATGAGTCATGGCTAGAGCCGGGATAGCGTGCATCGACCGCTCGAATTTTCATGTGACCATCACAAATCTAAATAAAAATGTACATACATATATATAAATCAGTTTTACAAGGCAATGTACGAGTAAAATGAAGATTCATTATTACTTGCAAGCATGGCGTTCATACTGAAATATCAATTTCGATTATAAAATAAATGTTCGTCAATACTCGGCTTGATGATTTTTATGTGTGTCCCGTCGATGCAACCAATTATTGAGGGAATTTTGTACTTTAAGTAAAAATAGTCTCTTGATCTGCGTTTTTCGGTGCCGTCCATTTCTAGTTTCACCCACTGAGGGCAAATGAACCGCTCCATAACCTTACGCACATCATCTAAAATCGTTGACACCGTGCTTCTAGCTACACTTATGCTAGAGTCGTTCCCGACTGATCTTTGATAGGATCCTTCAGCTAAAAATCGCAACGAAGGTGCTAACTGCAGCACTGGTGGAACTTTCGAACGTGTCAAGTGCCCTTCAATGGTGTCAAGCACCATTCGGAAAGCCTCTTTGTTTAGGCGATAATATGCTATGAAACTGCAAATACGCTATAAATATTTATAAACGCACATTAAAAAACAATCTACTTACGCTGTCTCAGGCAGCTCAAGTGGATTGCTGCAATCTCTCAAAATTTTTCTTTTAACTTTCTCGGAACTTTCTTCTTCCAATAAGAGAAATGCGACAACTGCGGATGTCATTTTGCGCTCACTTATTTTTTTTTTAATTAATGAAAACAATTCAATTTTATAAAATTGTGTCAAAAAAATATACATTCAAATTATCGCCATACACACAAATGTGCAAGACAGCTGATTCGAACATCGGTTTTGTTTATGTTCGAAAAGAGCAAAACCAATCCGGTTTCATGACACCAAATGAAACCAAAATTGGTTTGTAATTCCGACAAAATGCAAAACCGACTTGGATTCCATGACAGCCCTGAATAAGTTCTGCTGTAATCGAGAAAATAAAGAGAAGAAATATAAAACTTGTTTCTACAATAAACACAACAAGTGGCGACGAGAGGAAAAAATCCACAAATTTCGCGGTCATCGTTTTGTTTTAAACCATAAAAACGTGAAATAATCACGTATATACATTGTAAAACAAAGTACACTACAAATTTCAATTAAAGGAAAAAGATGACCAACTACGCCGTTTTCGAGAAATTCGAAACGGCAACAATGCAATGGTGTCGTTGGGTGGCACGTTTTGAGGAGACTGTAACGATGCTTGAAGTCCCCGATAAAAGCAAATCATTGCTGCTTATTTACATGGGGCAAGAAACATACGACATGTTGTATGACCAATTAGCCCCAGCGGACAAGACTTACACGGAAATAAAAATAATCATCTCTGACGTGTATGATCCAGCACCATTGTAGGTAATGAAAAACTACCGATTCCACCTACGCAAACAAAATGAGAGCGAGTCAGTAGAACAGTTTTCGATAGCGTTACGGAAGTTGGCAATAATTTGCAACTTCGGCACATATTTGGAAACTGCATTGCGCAACCAATTTGTATTCGGCCTGCGCAGCACACGCATTCAGAAACGATTACTGGAGACAAAGGATTTAAAAATGGATGCAGCGTTAACTACGGCAAAAGCGATGGAGCTATCGGCAAAAGGCGGTGCGGGAATTCAGCAGCAAAAAGACGTCAAATCGCCAATAAATTACATTCAGCAAAATAATAAGAAAGGCAAAATGATAATGACCATGAATTCATCAAATCCAAAAGCAATGACTAAAGTTGGCGAGATAAAAAGGAGCGGTTTCAGATGTGGCAAAACTGAACATCGCGCTAACAAATGCCCACACCAAAATTCGACGTGTTCGTTCTGCAACGCGAAGGGTCATCTATCATCGGTCTGTTTTAAAGCGAAGAAAGGAAAAAAGACAAACTACATTGACTGTGAAGATCACACTAATACGGTTGAGGAATTGTTCAACATAAATACAGATAATTTTAACTGCAATAATATTAATCGCAATAAGAACCAAAAAAATTTGCATTAACTGAAAGTAAACAATATCCTCCTAGGTTTCGAAATCGACAGCGGTTCTCCAGTAACGATTATCAGCAAAACAGATAAGAACAAATATTTTCGTACACAGCAATTGTTCCCGGCGGACATGAAACTGGTCAGCTATTGTGGTTCGGAAATTAACGTGTTTGGGTATTTCAATGCTTGCGTAAAGATGAGCACTACGGTAAGTCCAGATATGAAGATATGTGTAGTGGAGTCAAATAGAAAGCCACTTCTGGGACGGGAATGGTTACGTAAGTTGAATCTGGATTGGAACCAGATTTTCAACGCGGACTACAATGCGCAAGCGGTTTCATCACTCCATAAGCATCAAGTATCGGCGAGGATCGATTATTTGAAACGTAAATACTCCAAAGTATTTGAAAAATCAATGGGTAAATTGAAAACGTACAGGCACGTATCCGTCTACAGGCGAATGTGCAACCGATCTTTATTAAAGCAAGCAAGCTACCGTTTGCATTACGTGACGCGGTGGAAAAGGAGCTCGAGGATTTGGAGAGAAATGGTATCATAAAGAAAATTGATTCAGCCAAATGGGCTACACCAATCGTACCCGTTAAGAAGCAAGGAAACGAAGTGAGATTGTGCGGCGATTACAAAATTAGAGTGAATCCGTGCATAGTTGTTGAGGAGCATCCACTTCCAACGATTGAAAAGCTTTTTGCTTCCATGGCTGGCGGACAACAGTTTTCAAAGATTGACCACACCAAAGCCTATTTACAATTAGAAGTTAACCCGGATGATCGGGAAATTTTAACGCTCAGTACACATCGCGGGCTATATCAACCGACAAGGCTAATGTATGACATTACTTCAGGACCAGTGAAATGGCAGCGAGAAATCGAACAAATTCTGAAGGATATAGACGGGGTGTCGGTATTATTGGATGACATAAAAATCACTGCACCAAACGACGATATACACTTACAGCGCCTGGAACTCGTTTTGTCTCGCCTCAACAAATACAATATGCGTGTAAATTTTGATAAATGCGTATTTATGGGAAACGAAGTTGAATATTGCGGATACAAAATCGACCGTTTAGGTATACACAAAAGTACAAGGGAAAATAGACGCAATTACACAAATGCCAGATCCAGCTAATAAAGAGCAAGTCCGTGCATTCGTTGAATTCGTCAACTATTACGGCCGATTCCTGGCAAACTTGAGTACAACTTTATACCCGCTGAACAATCTACTCAAAGATGATGTGAGATTTATTTGGAGCAGCGAGTGCAAGAGGGCTTTTAACGAAGTGAAAAAGCAAATACAAACAAAGATGCCCCTCGCGCACTACGATCCAAAACTACCAATAGTGCTTGTTACGGACGCAAACCCAGTAGGTGTTGGGGCTGTATTAAGCCAAATTTACCCCGCTGGAAACGAGAAGCCAATACAGTCGCATCGCAAACTCTATCACCGGTACAACGACGGTACACGCAGATCGATCGTGAGGCTTACGCGATTATCTTTGGCATCCGAATGCACTTTCTCGACTACCGTTAGCGGAAATTAACGACAAAAAAGAAGTAATCGAGATGAATGCGATCGAAACATTACCTTTAATAATAATAATAGATTGGCGCTTACACATATGTTAGTGCTTGGCCGAGCTTCTCCTCCGATTTGTGGCGTGCGCCTTGATGTTGTCACACAGAGCGGAGGGACCTACAGTTTTACGCCGACTCTGAACGGCGATTGTATTTTTATGAGAAGCTGTTTTTCATGGCAGAAATACACTCGGAGGTTTGCCATTGCCTGCCGAGGGACGACCGCTGTTAAGAAAAAACCTTTTTCTATATTTTTTGCGATGTTGCTTTGACCAGGAAACATTATCATTATCGGTAGAAAAACTACAAGAAGCGACAATGAAGGACAGGACAATTCAAGAATTAAAGAATGGATTGCTGAAAGGCTATACCGTAAAGCCGGAACAACGCTTCAATATAGATCGAACAGAGTTTACAATACAACACCACTGTTTGTGGCGAGGTTTACGCGTATACGTACCCGGAAAGTTACGAAGCCAAGTTCTAGATGAACTACACGTAGCACATTTCAGCATCACTCATATGAAAGCATTAGCACGAAGCTGCTGCTGGTGGCCGAAAATAGACGCAGACATTGAAGGCATCGCAAGAAATTGTTCGCAGTGTCAACGTACTCGAGCAAACCCAGTGAAAATTACTTCACATGTGTGGGAGGCGGCCAAATTTCCGTATCAACGTGTACATGTAGACTTTGCTGGACCTGTCATGGGGAAATACTTCTTTCTCCTAATTGACGCGTATACTAAGTGCCCAGAATTTTATACCATACCAAACATTACTACGACCATAACTATTGAAAAATGCCGCGAAATATTTTCAAGATTTGGAATTCCCGAAGTTTTAATAAGCGATAACGGATCGCAATTTACATTCGAAGAATTTCGTCTGTTCATGGAAAAAAATGGTATAATACACAAACGAAGTGCACCGTATCATCCCTCCACGAACGGGCAAGTGGAACGAAATGTTCAAACATTAAAAAACAAGTTGAAGACAGTAAATTGCGGTCGTTCTGACATCGATAAAGTAGTATGCAACATTCTACTAAATTATCGTCGAACTCCACACGCAACAACAAGTAAATCACCAGCGTCATTAATGTTCAATCGCTAAATTCGTTCTCGTTTAGACATAATGGTACCAACAGCGCTTTTACCAGAAAATCCGAAATGCGAAATGAATTCAAAGCTTCGAATACTACAAGTAAATGACCGAGTGTCAGTTCGAGATTATACAAGCACAGCAAAATACCAGTTTGGTATTATCATCGAAGTGTTAGGGAAGTTGCATTATAACGTTAAATTAGACGACGGTCGCATTTGGAAGCGACATATCAATCAGATTCATAAAATTGGCTCTATTAAACCATCTTGGGAAGACCAAATGAAGTACGACTACAGCTACCCTGGACCCGCAACACACACGCATACTCAAACACCACAACAAATAAACGCAGACCAAGAAGTTCCACAAACACCACAACAGCTCACCACAAGTCCGGCCCGAGACGAAGAACAAAATATAACAAACGTAACACCAATCGTTACTGGACTTGCTCTGATTCCGAACCATAGACCACAAAGACAATGCCGCGCAAAATGTCCCAAATTGAAATAATAATAGTAAAAAAAAAATATGTACATAGAGGAATAATAATGTTCTAATAAGTATGTACGCAAACATGTAAAATTAATTTGATTTTGAACATCGAACTATGTAAAAGAGTAGAGATTTAGCTTCCTGTAAAAATGTATATTTAAGCACCATGTACAAAGTATCGTTATACCATAAAAGGGCCATTCAAATTGAGAGGGGAAAACTGTTATATACGTTGTGCGTGAATACGCACTGTTATATACTTTGAACATGCTCCTATAGAAATTGCTATTTTGGTAAACGCACTCATGTGCAAATACTATTGAAGTGAACGCACCCACACACGTGTAATAATGGCTGCGTTTCTTTATACATTCCGGATAATCCCATTTCACAGCCGGAATAAACAGAATGCTTTTGAAATATACGTTAACATATCGGATGCGTTTCTTTATACATTCCGGATAACCCCATTTCACAGCCGGAATAAACAGAATGCGTTTGAAATATACGTTAACATATCATCAGGAACGTTCTAAAGAATAAGTAAACAAAAAAGTTTATTCCAAACGTTCAGAATGAATAAAGAAATGCAGCCATCATCAGGAACGTTCTAAAGAATAAGTAAACAAAAAAGTTTATTCCAAACGTTCAGAATGAATAAAGAAATTCGCCCAATAAGTTCTGCTGTAATCAAGAAAAAAAAGAGAAGAAACATAAAACGTGTTTTTACAATAAACACAACAACCTCCAATATTCAAGTACAGACATTTCAAAGTCGACTTAAATTCGATGGCTGAGTGGAAGATCGACCTATCTCGGCAACCAGTTCGAAAACGCCCTATCTAAGAAAATTTTCAAGAACGCCCTATTTCGGAATGTTATTGAAAAGCACCCTATCTCAGAATTCGGTACAAAAACGCCCTATCGCAGCTGAAAATACATTACAAATGTGCTGAGATAGGGCGTTTTTGAATCGGCAGCTGAGATAGGGCGTTCTTCAACCAAATTCTGAGATAGGGTGTTTTTCAACAAAATTCTGAAATAGGACGCCCTTCAATCAAATTCTGAAGTAGATCGTTGTTGAAAAATTTTCTGAGATAGGGCATTTTCGAACTGGCTGCCGAGATAGCTCGATCTTCCACTCAGTTATCGAATTGCTAATACTGAATTCTTTGAGCCAATTTACATGATGACTTTTCACCCTGGTTGAAAGTCATGCGTGTCGAGCTTGTAGGGAAGAAGCGTATTGAACTCAGCGAGGTAGGCGAGCACGCACGGTGAGCGAAATCGAGGGGGTTTTTTGACGTTTCGCTTTTATAGAATTCATTTTTTCGTATTTTTACTATGAGATCGCGATTCGCTCCGGTTTAAAAATAAGGACGAAAGAGTTGACCAAAGAAAATTGGACGCTTAAATGTCAAAAAAAAAACGCAGGAAATGTCGCAAAGAAAAAGTCATCGTGTAAATACACGAGGATTTTCGAAGACTTTTTAAAAGGGAACGTGCAAAAAACGCAGAATGAAAAGTCGTCGTGTAAATTGGCTCTTTCTGATTCAATTTTAACTTTTTTAATGCTTGACAATGAGCGTCGCTGCAGTCGTGATTCACACATAGATCAGATGGATTAAATCTTTCTTTTGCTTTTACGCAACTAACGCACCTCAGAAAATAATTTTCACGCTGCCGGTGTCCTTTTTCGCCACCCACCCCAGCACTTATGGCATCTTAGAACATTGCTAGCTTCATATACTTTCCATCTATCCCATTCAATTTTTAACTTTTGCAAATTCATTACCTTCTCAAATCCTTTACCATCAATTTCTAGCAATGCATTCTACACAGCTGTATTATTGTGGGATTTATAAACTGTTATACACTTGATGTAGCACTCTTGCAACTTGTTTTGGTTTTTTATAATTTCATTTATTTATTTATTTAAAGTCATATGAAACAATTAATTTCTTACTGACTACAGAAAGGAATTGCTTAGGAACTAGTTAAAGTAATTAGTTAAAATAATTATACAGTAGGCTCCGGACAGCTCCAGGCGAGAGGGACAAATCCATGTTAGGAATATTATTTAATTCAGATAGAGTTCTTGGCATGGGAGCAAATTTAAGGTACTCAAATTTAGGAAACTCAGTGTAAAACAGTGGGACGTGTCGGAGATTCCGCGTAGGAATAAAGAAGTTTAGTTGCTCCAGTAGCGCAGGGCAGTCAACTGTATAATTTACCAGGTTATACACCAAGCTGCAAGAGAGAAAGGAAGATCTGCACTGTAAAGTTTTCAGGGATAAAAGTTGGCAACGGGATCAGTAGGGAGGTATAGGAGCAGTAAAGTTTAAAGAACGGAGTGCTTAACTTAATAAATATTTTTTGGATTCGCTCTATACGGTTAATTTGAGTTACGTGATACGGTCTCCAGATGAAGGCTGCGTAATCAATCCTAGATCTTACTAATGAAGTGTATAGCATTCTGAGCGTGTATGGATCCGAGATATCTGAACAGTTACGTCTTACAAAAGCAAGCATAGGTGACAGGTAATAAGGTCAATGGAAATAAGGTCAATTGACTTTATTTCCCACTCTGGTGCGAAATAAAGTCAATTGACATTATTACCTTTTCAAAAGCGAAATAAAGTCAACAAAAATTTGGAAATAAAGTCATTGACGCTATTTCCTCATTCAAATGGAAATAGCGTCAACAATGCTTAAAGTATGTCGATTCATAGAAAAAAATGTTGTTCTTACAATAAACATTGCCCCGTAAGTGTTGTTTTTTAATAGATGAAAAAGGCTTTTGCCAAATCCTCAGTGTTGTGATATTAATCCACACACAATCATGAACTACCACCAATTGATTCTATTAAAAAAAATTTAAATTACGAATATGTAAAAACACGATGCGAAAAACTAAACGCCTGCGCACAGCTGGAATACGACAAATATTTGAAG